GTGCTGGACCAGGTGCAAGCTCACTTCGGAAAGAGCGCGGTCTGTGGGCGCTTGGAGGTGGGGGAGATCCGAAACCGGCCCCCCCCCCCACCGCCTGTGCCAGCCCCAAGCAGAGTAGACAATGACCACCAACCTCTACCATCCTTTGGCCGTCGCCTACTCTCTCTTCTTCGGCGTGACTCCACTGTGGGGGATGGGACAAGACCACAGGGAGGGTATGGTCGGTTGCGTGGGAGAGGATCGTACTGCAGATTCATAAAGTTGCTACCGACTTTTAGCCTACTAGTCGGTACGCCCGTCGCTTGCTCTGTCCGTGACTCACGGTTCTCACAAGTTCTGTTTTGCTTGCGCGCGTATTTCGTCCTGTCCCTCGTTCGGTGCCTCCTCTTACTTGGGTTATCGTACTGCTTCGTTCGACCCCCTTTCTCCAGTTCAGCGAGGACAGCGTAATTTCCTTTTTGCCTTCGGGCCTAATCTTTTTCTCTGTCTCTCTGGCCTTCTCCTTTCCATCTTGCACGCTGGCCTCGCCTGAATTTGTCGCCGCAAGATCGAAGTCGGATCCTTTTCCCTTTCTGTTATCATTGCCGAACGCTGCGAGCTTTGTTGTTGAAGTTTGCCAGGCGTTAAAGTTGCATGAGGCATTCCTCCTCGCCTCGCTCCTCCTCCTTGTCCTCCTCCCCCTTCCCCCCCTCCGCTTCCCCCTCCTTCCTCGATCCCTCCGTCCCCTCTCGCTCCACCCTCCTGCCTCAGTGCCCCTTCTTTCCCTCTGGGGAAAGGTTCGGTGGAGTCGAATCCGTGTCGGCAGCGCCTCGGATCGAGCCTGAGGGACAGCGGCGGGCTGATGACGCTGCCGGTCTTGAGTTCATCCTCGCGAAGCGAAGGCAGAAAGACAGAAGCGGTGCACGTCAGAGGTGCGTTGGCAGTCTGGTGGAACTGATCTGGTGAGTGAAACAACCAGCGTGCTGAGCATGGCAACGGAGGTGTAGGTGGAGGATTATGATGATGATGATGAGGATGACGATGACGATGATGATGCTCTGATGATGCTGATGATGACGTTGATGACGATTCTGATGCCGATGCTGAAGATGATGATGATGATGATGATGATGATGATGCTGATGCTGATGATGACGATGACGGATGATGACGATGATGATGGTGGTTATTCTGATGCTGATGATGACGATGCTGATGATGACGATGATGCTGGCGATGCTGATGCTGCTGATGATGATTGTGTTGTTGGTAATGCTTCTGATGATGATGGTGCTGCTGATGATGATTATGATGATGATAGCGATGATGATGATGATGATGATGATGATGATGATGATGATGATGATGGTGGTGATGATGATGATACTGATGCGGACCATGATGATGATGATGATGGTGATGATGATGATGATGGTGGTTATTCTGATGCTGATGATGACGATGCTGATGATGACGATGATGCTGGCGATGATGATGCTGCTGATGATGATTGTGTTGTTGGTAATGCTTCTGATGATGATGGTGCTGCTGATGATGATTATGATGATGATAACGATGATGATGATGATGATGATGATGATGATGATGATGATGCTGATGATGATGATGATGGTGGTGATGATGATGATGCTGATGCGGACGATGATGATGATGATGATGATGATGATGATGATGATGGTGGTGATGATGATGATGATGCTGATGCGGACGATGATGATGATGATGATGATGATGATGATGATGATGATGATGATGATGATGATGATGGTGCTGTTGATGTTGGTGATGATGGTGATGATGATGCTGCTGACGATGATAACGCTGATGTTAATGACGATGATGATGACGATGATACTGATGCTGCTGATGACGATGATGATGATTATGGTATGATGATGAGGATGATGATGATGATGATGATGATGATGATGATGCTGATGATGATGATGCTGATGATGATGATGCTGATGATGGAAATGATGATGATGATGATGCTGATGATGATGATGATGATGATGATGATGATGATGATGATGATGATGACGATGACGATGACGATGACGATGATGATGATGATGATGATGATGATGATGATGATGATGATGATGATGATGGTGATGGTGATGGTTGTGGTGGTGGTGGTGGTGATGATGATGATGATGATGATGATGGTGGTGGTGGTGGTGGTGGTGGTGACGATGGCCTCTCTTCCCGCCTCCTTTCCATGCACCCCTTGGCGGGCGGTGGTGCGGCGAGCTGCGGGACGGCCGACGACAACGCCGACGCTGACGACCCCCCTCCCATTCCTCGTGGTGGTTGTGGTTGTTGAGTTGCCCCTTGCCACCGAACTTGCGTGGTCTTTTTTGGAAGAGAAGGATGATGATGCTGCTGCTGCTGATGCTGATGCTGATTCTGATGCTGATGCTGCTGCTGCTGATGATGATGATGAGGAGGAGGAGGACAAGCAAGAGGAGGAGCAAGATGAAGAGGAGGAGGAGGAGGAGGAGGAGGAGGAGGAGGAGGATGAGGAGGAGGAGGAGGAGAGGAGGAGCAGTAGGAGGAGGAGGAGGAGGAGGAGGAGGAGGAGGAGGAGGAGGAGCCAGGAGGAGGAGGTGGAAGAGGATGAGGAGGAGGATCAAGTGGAGGAGGAGGAGGAGGAGGCGGAGGAGGAGGAGGAGGAGGAGGAGGAGGAGGGTACCACATGAGGGTTGTTGAGAGTAAGCTGTTTGACAACAACTCGGACCGGGCCCAGGAGATCAGGGGGAGTGGAATTCTGGACTTGCCTGTTCGGCGTCTGCTCAATGGCAAGAAGCTCAACCCCACACAAAAGTGGATCTTAATAAGCGTGTTTTGTGACACCTACACCACAGCCAAGACCTTTCAAACATGGGGGTATAACACAGATTGTTTGTGCGTGTATTGCGGGGCGCCTGACACGGTTCACCACCGAGCGTGGACTTGCCCCCATTTCGCTCCAGATAGGGAGGGTATCGACTGCTCGCCATGGCCGAGCACATGGGAGAGTCCGATCCTCTTTTCAGCAATCTGTGGATGGCGGCTTCTATGCCTACTGAGCGGCCTTTTGACGCGGCAGTGGTATACATAGATTCGCGCGTTCACGAGGCCGCACCCTTTTGCTTCACAGGCGAGGGGGAACTTTACTGCGACGGTAGCTGTTTCCATATAGACAAGGGTAATCTAGCTAGAACCGGTTGGTCGGTCATTGAGCGCGACGCGCGGGGGAACATGTTGAGGGCGATTTGTGGCCCCGTCCCCAATGGTCTCCCGCAGACGGCCCCAGGAGCCGAGCACACAGTTTGATGCAAGCGCTTGACCACCTCAGCCAACACTTTCCCGATGACAAGGCCGTGCACGTAGATTGTCAGGCCTTAGTTCAGGGAGCTCTCAATATGCTCTGGGCCAAGAGCCACTCGGCCCCACACGCGGGATATTGGCGGATAATGCAGAAGCTGGCCCGTGATCGCAGCTTCCCTCCGCTAATTAAGATCAAGGCTCAGAGGTCGCTCCAAGATGCCGCCTCAGAGCTAGACGAATTGCATATTCTTGGTAATCGCTTGGCTGACAAGTGGGCCAAGGAAGCGGCTCGAGCCAACGGTTGGCCCACCAATGGTTCGATTCGTTTCTAATCTGATATGTCTTTGGTTTCCGGGGTAGCCAAGGCTGTGTTAAGCATCCTGGAGCTCTGGCCCCCCACACGTGAGCTCTTAGGACTCCTCCAGCGCCTCCCTGGGCCTCCGAGTGTCAAGAGCGCCATCGCGAGGGTGCCCCAGACCCAGCTATGGGATGGGGAAAAATTGAGGTGTTTGGCGTGCCACAGATCGGGATCCCGTCTGCTGGCCACGCGTTGTTTCTCTCTGTCAGCTTCGTTCCAAGATGTCCTGGATGCGGCACAGGAGCCAGGATATAGGCACAAACTGTTCGCCACGTCGGTCAGAGCAACCCGTATGCCAGTAGTCTTCTGCAACGCTTGTGGGGCCATAGCCTCGAGCCGCGCCGTGCGACTCAGAGAGCCCACATGCCATCCCGCCGTCACCCCCGACTTCCAGAAGTTACGGAGAGGAATCTTGCCAGAAGGAGGGTCTGTTGAGCTCACCCCTCTCTGGCACCTCTTCTCTGCACCACCCGCAGGTGCCACCTCTTCCTCATCCTCCCAGGGTTGTGCAGCGCCCGGCGGTCACGGGAACGGGCCGCGCCGGGAGAGAGAGAGCGAGGGCAGGTAGCGCGAACGCTCGGAGAGTGCCTGGGGTGATTCCCCTACCCTCTCCCACAGGGCTGAAAAGGACTGAAAAGGAGGAGGAGGAAGAGTTGGAGGAGGAGGAGGAGGAGGAGGAAGAGGTCGAGGAAGAGGCGGATGATGATGACGAGGAGGAGGAGGAGCAGGAGGAGGAGGAGGAGGAGAAGGAGTAGGAGAAAGAGGAAGAGGCGGATGATGACGATGATGCTGATGATGATGATGCTGATGATGATGCTGATGATGATGATGACGATGATGATGATGATGATGATGATGATGAGGATGATGATGACGATGATGATTGTGGTGGTGGTGGTGAGGAGATGATGATGATGATGATGATGATGATGATGATGATGATGATGATGGTGATGGTGATGGTGATGGTGATGGTGATGGTGATGATGATGATGATGATGATTGATGATGATGATGATGATGATGTTGATGATGATGATGATGATGATGATGATGATGATGATGATGATGATGATGATGATGATGATGATGATGATGATGATGATGATGATGATGATGATGATGATGATGATGATGATGATGATGAGGAGGAGGAGGAGGAGGAGGAGGAGGAGGAGGAGCAGGAAGAGGGAAGAGGAGGAAGAGGAGGAGGAGAAGTAGGAGGAGGAGGAGGTGGAGGAGGAGGAGTTGGAGGAGGAGGAGGTTGAGACGAACAAAAACAAAAAGATGGCCCATCCAACCAGAAGAACTCCCCCCCCTCCCCGAGGAGGGGCCCCATGCCGACTCGGAAGAGGATCCCGCGACCGAGACCGACGAGGTGCCGCTGTCGCCCTCGGCCGCGCAGGCCCCCTTTTGGCGCCACGGCCCGGCCTGGCCTGGCTCGGCCTGGCTTGGCGCGCCCGGGCGCGGCCTGGCCTAGCCTGGCCCGGCACGGCTCGGCGCGGCGCGTCTCGGCGTGTCCCGTCGCGGCCCAGCCCGGCCCGAGTGCATCATTCCTCCTCCTCCTCCTCCTCCTCCTCCTCCTGCTTCTCCTCCTCCTCCTGCTCCGCCTCTTCCTCGACCTCCTCCTCGTCCTCCTCCTCCTCCTCCTCCTCCTCGTTCTCCTCCTCGTCCTCCTCCTCCTCCTCCTCCTCCCTGCATCATTCCTCCTCCTCCTCCTCCTCCTCCTCCTCCTCCTCGATCTCTCAGCGGCGTCGAGTCGTGCGGCTGCGGCTCCGCGGCCGGCGACGGACCCCTCCCCGGGCCAGGGTCCCCCTGGTCGCTGGCGAGGGCGGCGCCTCCGGGGCGCTCCTCGTCCCGGCGTGGCGTGTTTTGTTCCGATCGCGGCTCGGTCGGTGGGTGTTCCGGGGCACGGGTTCGACGAGGCTCGGTACCCACCGTTGCCATGTTTCTCTCGGGGTCCCCCTGGCTTCACCTGAGGAGTTGGAGGGCGAGCCGCGCCGAGCTCTGAGTTCGCGCCACGGAGCGGCCTGCGAGCGAGAGGCGCAGTGGGGGCGCCACTCGGCCACGCCCCGTGTCGGGAGAACCCCATGGGATGGGGCGGCTTCGTGACTGCAGTTGCTTGCTTTGCAGATTCATCTGGCGAAGGTCACAACTACGGGGCCCAAACATGTACACCACCACCACCTCCCTCGCCTCCTCCCTCTCCCAGGAAAAAGGGAGGGAATAGGAGGGGTAGAGGAGGGAGGAGGAATCGACGGGGTGGTGGTGGTGGTGTATATTCTTGAGGCCCTCCACAACTTTGAAAGGTTCCTGACCGCGCGCGCGCGGCGCGCGCGAGTGTCGCAGGCGGGCATGCTGCGGGGACGAACACCAGGTGGGGTCTTCGTCTCGGCTCCAGAAGGGCCCCAGAAAGGGCCCAGCAAGTCCCCGAAAACACGATGCAGCGCAATGCACTCCCTGTCGCCCGCCTTTGCGCTTTAGAGCAGCGCCGCCATCGCCGTCGTTGAGGGCGTGGTCGTGGTCGTGCGTCGTCGCCGCCGTGGCCGTCTTGGCCCTCTTAGGGTGTCATCGTCGTCGTCGTCGGCCGGCTGTGGCGGCCCTCGGCGGCCCTCGGCGGCCTTCGGCGGCCTTCGGCGGCCTTCGGCGGCCCTCGGCGGCCCTCGGCGGCCCTCGGCGGGCTTCGGCGGCCCTCGGCGGCCCTCGGTCGAGGCGGCGGGAGAGCACGGCCGCGCGGTGCCGCCGCGACACCGCCGGCCGAGGGGGCTGCAGGAGCCCGCCGGTTCGCGGCGGCGCCGCCGCCACCGTCGGCGGCGGCGTCGTCGTCGACGTCGTCGCCGTCGTCGTCGTCGTCGTGGTCGTCGTCGCCGTCGTCGGCGCGGCGGCGGCGGCGGCATCGGCGGCGGCGGCGTCGTCGTCGTCGTCGTCGACGTCGTTATCGTGGTCGTCGTCGTCGTCGACGTCGTCGTCGTCGCTGCCGTTGTCGTCGTCGTCGTCGTCGTCGTCGTCGTCGTCGTCGTCGTCGTCGTCCTCGTCGTCGTCGTCGGCATCGTGGCATCGTTGTCGTCGTCGTCGTCAGCGGCATCGTCATCGTCGTCGCCATGGTGGTGGTCGTGGTCATGGTCGTGGTCGTCGTCGGCGTCGTCGTCGTCCCTTGCATCGTTGTCGTCGTGGTCATGGTCGTAGCGGTCGTCGTGTTCGTCGTCGTCGTCGTCATCGTCGCCAGCATCGTCGTCGTCGTCGTCGTCGTCGTCGTCGCCGTGGTTGTGATCGTTGTCGTTGGCGTCGTCGTCGTCGTCCTCGTCGTTGTCGCCTTTGTGGCGGCGGCATCGTCGTCGTCGTCGTCGTGGGCATCGTTGTTGTCGTCGTCGTCGTTGTCGTCGGCGGCATCGTCGTGGTCGTCGTCGTCGTCGTCGTCGGCATCGTCGTCGTCAGCATCGTCGTCGTCGTCGTCGTTTTCGCCATAGTCGTGGTCATCGTTGTTGGCGACGTCGTCGTCGTGGTCTTCGTCGTCGTCGTCGCCGCCGTCGTTGTCGTTGTCGCCGTCGTCGTCGTCGTTGTCGTCGTCGTGGTCGTCGTCGTCGTCGTGGTCGTCCTCGTCGTCGTCGTCGTCGTCGTCGTCGGCGGCGGCGGCGGCGGCGGCGGCGTCGGCTGCGGCGTTGTCGTCTTCGTCGTCGTCGTAATCATCGTTAGCAGCGGCGGCGGCGGCGGCTGCGGCGTTGTCGTCGTCGTCGTCGTCGTCGTCGTCGTCGTCGTCGTTGTCCTCGTCGTCTTCGTCGTCGTCGTCGTTGTTGTCATGGGCGTCGCCGTCGTCGTTGCCGTTGTTGTCGTCGCAGGCGGCACTGTCGGTGCCATTTTCGTCCGCGTTCTGCTGCCCTCCGTCCTCCACCCTCCCCGCGCCTTCGGCCTTCTTTTTTCCCTCTTCCGCCCTTCGCGGCTGCACGTTGTGAGCTGTGGGTGCCGCTCCCTGGCAAGGTCCATCCGTGGACCCGCCCCCTTCCGCGTATTGCTTGTCACGCCCGAGTGCATGACATGTTTTTGTGTGTTCGTGTGTATGTTTGTGTGCGATCTCCGGTCTGCTCATCGCGGAACTTTTCCACGTCTGTGCGCTTCCCCCCTCCTCCCCTCGCGCGGCCGCCCTCGTCTTCGCTCGTTCCTCTTGCACGCCAGACAATTCCTCTATCGGTTGCCCCGATTAGCCCCACGCTGGTGCGGACTGCCTCTGCCTCGCAGCCGACGGGAAAAAGTGCGCGTGTGCGATCTCAGTCGGAACGTCAATGGTCCTTGAAATGGTGCCCCCGCTTGAGCGCTGGTGTAATTTCAGGACCGGTGCTCTGATTCCGTCGTCCGGAGAGGCGTTGTCACCCCAGCGCGCGCCACATTTATCTACCCGATCTTTCCCGTCCATCTCCATTTCCCTCCTCCCTCTTCCTCTGATCTTGCGGCTCCTCCTGATCATCCTGCTCCTGCTCCTCCTCCACCTACTTGTTCCTCCTCCGCTTCCTGCTCATCCTCTCTTCTCTTCCAGTGTTTTTGCCCCCACTTTCCGATTCCGTAGCAATCGATGGGCCATTTTTTGCAATTGTCATCTTAGCCAGCGTGGACCTTAAATTGTGTTTGTTTTAGCACTTCATGCTGTGCAAGTTATGTGGTGCAATCTATGTTGTGCAACATGTGTGGTGCAATCTGTCTGGTGCACTATACGCTGTGCGTGTGGTACAATCGATACATCTGGTGCAATCTACGTGGTGCAATTAATTTGCTGAACTTGAAGTTGTCTTCTCCACTGCTCGCGCAAACATCCCACCCACCCACCCGCAACTTGGTTTGCAAAACCTGTTAAGACCGACTACGACGACACCGACGACAACGACTAGGACGACACCGACGACGTCTCCGACGACTTCGACGACGACAACGACGCCGACGCCGACGACGACGAAGACGACGACGACGACGCCAACGAAGGCGACGACGAGGAAGGAGGAAGGACGACGACGGCGACAACGACGACAACGACGAAGGAGGAGGGAGGACGGTGACGACGCGAACGACGACGAAGGAGGAAGGACGGCGACGCCGACGACGACAACGACGAGGGAGGAGGGAAGACGACGACGACAACGACGACGACGACGGCGACGACATAGGAGGGACGACGATGAGACGCCGACGACGGACGACGACGACGACGTGGGAGGAGGAGGAAGGACGACCACGGCGACAACGACGATGGAAACGACCACGACGCCAAAGAGGACGACGACGACAAACAGGAGAAAAGACAGAGGACGACGTAGGCGACGACGACGACGACGCGGGAGGAGGGAGGACGGCGACGACGACGACGACGACGACGCAAGAGCGCGCGCGCACGCTCTTGTTGAAAATCCGTGTTGCGAAACCTTGGGTTCTTCCGAAACCGATGGGTTTCGAAGGTTTTCGGCATACGTCCGCGACGACGCGCGCGTCTGCACTTCGTCTCATTTTTTGCAGAGGGTTCTCGCGACGGCACACGCGCAAGGGCGTTCGACAGATTTCGACATGCGCGCGCGCGCGAAGCCCGTTTGGTAGCATTTTGTGAAAATCTTGAAAAAACCTATGGTTTTCTTAAGATTTCGCAAGAGCTCGCGCGGAAGTTTTTTTAGCACACCAGTGTTGCGAAACCATGTGTTTTTGTATGTTGTTCGGAAACTCGATTGCGAAATCCTTCCGGCACCGAAGGTTTTTGAAGGATTTCGGCATGCGCGCGCGACGACGCGCGCGTGTGCACTTCGTCCCGTTTTTTGCAAGGGATTCGTGAACAAGTGTTATGTTAGAAAGAAAAATGTCCCCGCCTAGTGTTATTTGGCAGGGAACCGCAGGGGGAGGAACCCGGCTTGGCTGGGATAGTACGAATTCATATTTAGGATGGACATGTGGTCAGAATCATATATGATTTACAGCACGCGCGGGGTAACCGATAAGTCCGGGGGGGGGGGGTAGAATCTATTAGTTTTTTTAGAAAGGAGAATCGATGTTGTGCAACTTATGTAGTGCACGATAGGTTTGCAGCAGATAGGGGTGCAATTTATGTTGTGCAATTTTTGTGGTGCGATCTGATCTATGTGCTGAACAATAGTGGTGCAAAACATGTTGTGCGGTATAGGTGGTTTAGTTTTTGTTGTGCAATATATGTGGTGCAATTCGTGTCTGCTCTGAATGGGTTGTCCACTCCACTGCTCGCGGAATCATCCCACCCACCCACCCGCAACTTGGTTTGCAAAACCCATGCAGCGGTGATTGCGAGTGCTTGGCGTCGGCTGGTGCACCTTTGCGGGCGCGGTAGCCCGCGCATGCTCGCGCACAGAGCGGCCAGCTATTTCGGCGCGACCGACGCGGCCGCGGTAGCGCTGGCCGCTGGGCACTTCCCGGTGGGGACTTCAGTGCGAGTCGGTGGCTTGGGCGGGCGCGGTATCTTGGCGACGCCGACAACGGTAGACACAATTGCGAGAGTAGCGATGGTGACGAAGGTGGCGATAACGACGGCGAGGCCAATGACGGCGCCGATGCTGATCACGCTCGCCGAAAACGATGACGATGTCCTCGCGTCGGCGATGAAAGTTTTTGACAGAGTTCGACATGCGCGCGCGGCCGACGCGCGCGATTGGCCCGCGTGTTATTTGACCCCAGCAATCGCGCAACGACGTTCGAATGAGTTCGATATGCGGCGCGAGAGGGCGCGAGAGGGTCCTTTTGGTAGAATTTGATGAACGCGTTGGAGAACCGATTGTTTTCTTAAAAGCCCGCCTGTAATAGCGCGAGCGCAACATTCCTCGAATGCGGATGTTGCAACGCCGTTTTTCAATATATCTATATCTCTCTATATATGTTGTCGGGCCATTCGGATTTGAAATCCTGACGAAACCGAAGGTATTTCAATGATTTCGCCACGCGCGCGCGACGACGCGCGCGTGTTTTTTGTTGTCTTCTTTTCTTGTTTTTGTTTGTAATTCTTCCTTTTGCAAGGGGTTCTTGCGACAGCATGCGCGCAAGGGCGTTCGAACGATTCCGACGCGCGCGCGAGAGGCTAATAAGGAAATGTGTTATGAACATGTTGAACACCCATGGTTTTGTAAGAATTCGGCGTTTAGTTGTTGTGTGATAACTATTGTTGCTGAGCAATGCGTTTTTGTAAATACGTTTTCGTGACGCTTGACTTCGGAACCCTTACGAAACCGGACGTTTTGTTTTGAAGGTTTTCGGCATGCGCGTGCGACGACGCGCGCGTGTACATTTCGTTTAAACCGGATGATTTTTGATAAACGAAAATGCGCGTATAGTTTTTTTGCAAGCGGTGGCGGGTGCGGGGGTCGATGCAGGCAGGAGTGGGATGGTATGGGGCCATACGTAGGAAGGACGAGGGTCACGACCAACAAATGAATTCACGAGCGAAGCCAACAACGGATAAATTCGTTTTTTTTTTTTTTTTTTTTTTTTTTTTTTTTTTTTTTTTTTTTTTTTTTTTTTTTTTTTTTTTTTTTTTTTTTTTTTTTTTTTTTTTCCAAAGAAGAAGTAGGGATAATCGATGTTGCGCAACCTATGTCGTGCAAAATATGTGGTGCACTCTATGTGGTCCAAGCTGCGTTGTTCAATACATGTTTTGCAGTCTACGTGGTTTAATCAATGCACTGCAATCTGAGTAAGTAGTACGAAGCAATGCAGGCCAAAACGAAGGAGGGCGACATATTGCGACCATGCAGCGACGGGGCGGCGATGGCGGCGACATGGCCGCCAGACCGACAGACAGGCCCAGACGACGGGCGGCGACGAGGCGGCGACCGGGCGGTGACGGCAACTACACAACCGTCAGACCGACGGACAAATCCAATTCCCCAGAAAACGAATTAAAGACCCCAGATGCAAGCGCTGTTTGGGCCATTTGCGTACGAATGTCATCTACGGCACCCAGGCTGGCAGACAAACAGAAATCGGCGCAATGGGAATGGGAGGGGTGGGGGGGTGGGGTGTTAGGTGTGGCGCCAGTGCGCCTACCTTGCGTCTCCCGCCTTGCCCTGCGCCCTCCGCCCTCCGCTCTTCGGGAAGTCCACACGCGTGCGGGCGTCGTCGCTGCCGCCGCCGCCGCCGCCGCCGCTATCGACGCCGCCGCAACCGCCGCCGCCGCCGCCGCCGCCGCGGTCGGCGTCGCTGGCTCCGGCGTCGTTTCCGTCCGCCCTCCGCCTTCCGCCCCCCTCCGCTCTTCCGCGTCTCCCCCCCTTGCCTTGCGCGTTCCGCCCCCCGCTCCTTGGTACGACCACGCCCGCGCGGGCGTTGTCGCTGCCGCCTCCCCCGCCGACCCTGCCGTCGCCGCCGCCGCCTCCGCCACGGTCGCCGTCGGCGCCGCCGTCGCCGTCGTCGCTGTCGTCGTCGTCGTCGTCGTCGTCGTCGTCGTCGTCGTCGTCGTCGTCGTCGTCGTCGTCGCCGTCGCCGTCGCCGTCGCCGTCGCCGTCGCCGCCGCCGCCGCCGCCGCCGCCGCCGCCGCCGCTGCCGCAACCGCCGCCGCCGCCGCCGCCGCGGTCGGCGCCGCGGCGTCGGCGCTGGCGCCGTTTCCGTCCGCTCCTCCGCCCTCCGCCCCTTGCCCCGCGCTCCGCCCCCGGCCCTGCACCCCCCCCCGTCCGCTGAACCTGCACCCCCCCCCGCCCTGCGCCCCTCCGCCCTGCGCCCCTCCGCGGCCCCGAGAGGACCACGCCGCCCGCGGGGGCGTCGGCGCCGCCGCGCTGGGGCCAGTGGGCGGCGGCGGCGGCGAGCCAGGGGCCTGCGAGGGCGAGGGCGCCGACGGCGGCCCGAGCGCCGTGAGCACCTATGCGGGGCTGAGCGAGCTCGAGCTGGCCGAGCGCAGCACTTTCGGGAGCGCGCCCCCCCGGCGCAGCGCGACGCCCGCGTTCCGGGACGCGGCGACGTCGCCCGTCGGCGGCGGCGGCCTCGCGGAGGGCGGCGCGCAGGCGTTCGGAGGCCTGGCGCGCGGCTTCTTTGGCGACGGCGCCGACGCCGGGCTGGGGGGCGCCCCCGCTGGGGACGTCGGGGGCGGAAGAGGTACCGCTGCCGCTGCAGCCCGCATGGTGAGGGTGGGCACCCTTCCCAAGGGTGCCCCGGCATCCTTGCCTCCTCGGCCCGTCCTTGGCTGCTTTCGTGGGCCGCGTCCCGCTCGAGAAGCTTCGACGTGGGCGTCCAGGGCCCTTGCACCCTCCTCGCGGATCCTCATGGTGCGGGCCGGCTGCTCCCTTGCCTCGTCTGGGGCTTGTCTTGTGCCTCCTGGAGGCCCTCGTCGCCCCGTGTGGATTCGCCTCGAGCTCCTGGTCAGAGCGCACCCCAGGAGAGGTCTGGGGAGCAGCGGTATCCGTATTTCCCTGCGGCGAGCGAGGGGGGAAAGGGCGGGCCTTTTCAGAAGGCTCGGAAGTCCCCCGGCCTTCTGAGAGGTTCTCCCTAAGCCTCCCCCGAAGGCACAAGAGAAGACTTCCCAGAAGGCCGCACGGCTTCTGAGAAGTCCTGCGGCCATCTGAGAAGGCCTTCTCCTCATTTCCCTCGCTCGCCCCAGCGATCCGATGCCGTGATTTTTTCCATACGGGGTCCCCAGAAGTCTCGACCCATTCCCCAGGACCGGTTTTTCATTCCGAGTCGTTTTTTGAGGGTCTCGGGGCCCGGCCAGGGCCCCTCGAGGCCGAAAGATATGGAAAACCTCCGTCTTGATTTTTTTTCAATGCGTTAGATCTCTGGGGCCGCCGAAGTTCCCCAGGACCCATCTTCCAGTGGCGCGCAGGCCGATCGGGCGCCGCCGATGCCGGAGGGCAAGGGTTCTGGCGAGGCGCAGCGGCCCCTGCGCGGCGGACGAGCGGCGACAAGGGCGACGACGACGGCGACGGCGACGACGACGACGACGACGACGACGGCGATGACGGCGGCGACGACGACGACGACGGCGACGGCGGCGGCGGCGACGGCTCCAGCGTTGAGTCGGGCACGTCCCTCTACAGGAGGAAGATTCAAAAGTAGTCAAAACATAGTTTGGGGATTATTCCCTGGTTGTATATATACATATATATATCATTATATATATGTTGATATATATATATATATATATATATATATATATATATATATATATATAATATATATATATAATATATATGTATATATACCAATACATATATACATATAGATATCTCTAATCTTTCCGCCCCGAGTCCGCCTGTAGGGGGACACGCCCGACCTAGCTCCAGCGAGGCGCAGTGGCCCGGCGCGGCGAGCGATGCGGACCCGGGCGCCGCCCCCGACGACGGCCGCGACTCGCTCGGCGTCGCCGCGGGGGCGCGCCGTGAGCTCCGCGAGAGGCAGGCGGCGCTGCGGACCACCCGCATCAACGGGGACGACCTGCCCGAGGCAGGGCCCGGTTCTCGGGGGGGCGCCAACACGATGCACCTCCTCCGCCTCCTCCTCCGCCTCCTCCTCCTCCTCCGCCTCCTCCTCCTCCTCCTCCTCCTACTCCTCCCCCCCTCCTCCTCCTCCTCGTTCTCCTCCTCCTCCTCCTCCTCCTCCTTCTCCTCCTCCTCCTCCCCCTCCTCACCACCAGCCCTGGCCAGGTCCATCCTTGGCGCTGGACTGGGGGGGAAACCTCAAGGCCTGGGCCATGGAGGGCCTGTACACCAGTCCAGGGCCCAGGATGGGCCTGGCCAGAGCTGGTGGTGGTGTATTGGCTGGAGCTCGCCTAGGCTCGCGGACCGAGCCTGTCTCGAGGGCCCTGCGGAACCTCAGGAGGAAAGAGACCGGCAGAGACTTCCTGACAGACCACGTTCAGGTCGGTACGATCGAAGTGGGTGAGCAAGCAATGGGTACAAAGTCCAACAGCAGTTCTAGTCTATTTTGAACCACACTCCGGGGGGGGTGTCGCCGCGGACGTTGTCCACTTGAGACAGACAGCTGACAGCCGCCTGCCCAACAGCGGCCGCTGTCTGCTTTGAACAGCATGTGCTGTTGGGCATCGTGCCAATTTTTGCGTACCCATTTCGGGCGTCCACATCAGGGGCTGTCCGGTCCGACCTTGCCAGTGCCGGCGAAGAAAGTGCTGAAGACCGGAGCCGAGGGGCCGCCGCAGCCCCTGGACGAGGAGGAGGAGGACGACGCCGCCGACCAAGGGCGCCTTTCGTTCCAGCGGACGGTGGCTGTCACTGCGAAGAAGAAGGAGGGCGTGGACTCGCTGCAGCGGCTGTCCCAGGGCGCGAAGCGCGCCAGGGCCCTCTTCCCCTCGGAGCTGGCCCACGCGAGCGCCTCCGAGCGGCCGCAGGAGGCCAGCGAGCTGGACGAGGCCGCGCTCGCGCCTGGCTGGAGCGGGCTGGTGCCAGCCTTCTCTTCCAGGGCGGCCGCGGCCGAGCGCCAGAGCACTCCGGGGATGGACCGCCAGATGTCGGAGCGGTCGGCGGACTCCAACTGGAAGGAGTCGGGGGCGGCCAAGGGGAGAAGGAGAAGGTGGAGGCGGCAGAGGAGGAGGAGGAGGAGGAGGAGGAGGAGGAGGAGGAGGAGGAGGAGGACCAGTGTAAACCCAAGAGTCATCAACGATGTTGGAATGAACCCTTCCTTCAAGCTCCCACTTCATAATAAGCTCCTACAACGGTTCATTTCCATTGTGGCAACAGCCTCGTTGGAAGGCAACCGTTTGAAGACCTTGAAGCATGCCAAAACATTGTTCTCGGGATTTCCACGCCACGGATCAACCTGACTGCTGCGTCCTGGCGATCTGGAATCGTGCCAGAAAGCCATTTTTGGGACTTCAACACCGCGAATCAACAAAACTGTTGCACCTGCATAATCCTGAATCCTTCCACAACATCATTTCTGGTACGTTGATCACGGGAATCCGTGAAACGCTCGCAAATAGAAAAAAACGAATGTGCGTGGCGCTAAGGCGAGAGCCACATTTTGAAATGGAACCGTCCTCGCTCCGTGAACCTCTTGCAATTTGTTACAACGAATGTGCGCGTCGCTGAGGCGAGAGCACCATTAAAAAAACGACCCGCCCTCAATGCGTTAAGCTCTTACAAATTTCTGAAACGCATGTGCGCGGCGCTGAGGCGAGAGCCACATTTTGAAAACGACCCGCCCTCAATCCGCGAGGCTCTTGCAAATGTGTAAAAACGAACGTGCGCGGCGCTAAGGCGGGAACCACATATTGAAAACGACCCGCCCTCAATCCGTGAAACTCTTGCAAGCTCTTACAATGAGTGTGCGCGGCGCTAAGGCGAGAGCAACATTTTGAAAACGACCCGCCCTCTATCTGTGAAGCTATCGCCATTGTTTAAGCTTCAGAGTCATAACTGGTGAGGAAGTCTCAGGCGAAACGCCCGGCCCGCCCTAAAAACTGGCCTCGGGGTGCGACAGGGAGAAGTTATTTATAAGGAACAGGAATGGAGGAGGAGGAGGAAGAGGAGGAGGAGGAGGAGGAGGAGGAGGAGGAGGAGGAGGAGGAGGAGGAGGAGGAGGAGGAGTGGGGTGATGACTAGGGGGGGCTGCAGGCTGGAGAGCATGGTCGGGGCCACGACGCCTCCCCGGATGTCGTGTCTCCTCCTTTCTCTTCTCAGCACGCCGTTTGTCCCCGTCTCGGCCGCGCACGTGCCTCCGGCCATGATCTTCGAGTAGGGCATCGACGACATCATCGATTTACCCCAGAGCTGACCTGCTCGCCGAGTCTACAGAAAGATAAGCGTAGCAAGTTGGCAGGCCAACGGAGCAGCCTGAGTCTCGATACTTTTCGTATGCTCGGCTCAAAGCCAGTTCTGGGGCAGCGCACTCGACTCCTGTAGTCGATCCCCTGCTCGAGATCTGCGGGCCTCCCTTCCTGGACGACCCCCTCTCGTCGCCCGCCTAGAGGTCGACACCGACGCCACCATCGGCGGCGTGCCTCCACCGAGGCAAGAGGATCCCGATCACGGGTATGGGTGGCAATGTTTGGGCTGCCCAGGTGGCCGCAAGATTGCCACCGACACCCAACGTCTAGGATCACCTTCCTTCCGTGGAGGCAACCCCCTGTGCTGGTGTTGGTGCCGATTTCCAAGCCTCCACTCTCGGGCCGAACGAAAGGGGGGATAGGGAAGGGGGGGTTGTGAAATCTGCTGCATGCAGCTGGTTTCGGCCCCGCCGCGGGGCCCATTCCTCGATACGTGGGCGCCTCCCGGCGCCGGGGGGCGCTGGGAAAATCAGCTACGTGAGCTGATTCTCTACCCTACCCTCTGCTATTCCCCCCTTTCGTTCCCCCCGACAATCTTGGGGTGCCCCCGAGGAGGACGCCCTGCGCGTCGCCGCGCCGGGGTCCGCCAGAGCGGCCTCCTCGTTCTCAAGGCAGACGCCGCAGGTTCGGCGGCTACCGTTGGTGTGGCTGCGCTTGAGTCGGACCTGTCCCTCGACAGGAGGAAAATTCGAGGGCAGTCAAAAAATAGTCAGGGGACGTGCTCTCGATTATTTTTGGGTACTTTTGAGTATCTTCGAGTATTCTTGGACTTCTTTTCATTTTTCTTCAAGAATCCGCCTGTAGGGGACATCTGGGAACAGTTTAAAGAATAGTCAGGGGACGTGCTTTCGACTACTGCGCTGGCCTCCGGCCAGTGCCGCCGATCCGGTGCGCTCCGGATAATGATGATGATGATTATGATGATGATGCTGCTGATGATGATGATGATGACGATGCTGATGACGATGATGATGCTGATGATGATGCTGCTGATGATGCTGATGATGATAGTGTTGGTGATGATGATGGTGATGATGATGATGATGATGATGATGATGATGATGATGATGATGATGATGATGATGATGCTGATGATGCTGATGATGATGATGATGATGGTGGTGGTGATGATGATGATGATCATGATGATTTGAATGATGATGCTGATGATTATGATGAGGATGCTGATGATGATGATGATGATGATGATGATGATGATGATGATGATGATGATGATGATGGTGGTGGTGATGACGATGATGCTGATGATGCTGCTGCTGCTGCTGATGATGATGATGATGGTAATGTCCATGGGGCCATCTTGGGCGTCTTGGACCGATCGTTCGGTGATTCGGGCATTCTTGGGCCGTCTTGAGGGCCTCTCGGGGCCCTTTTGGCCCGTCTTGGGCCCGTCTTGGGCTCGTAAAGTCATGCCGGAACATTCTGGGGGCCACAGAGGGCGCGCGGGAAGCCTCAAGAGATTTGAGAGCTTGGGGTCCGGGCCCATAAATAATCCTCAGGCTTGCGGACTGAGGCTTAGGGGATTGAGCAAGGGACCTGGGGAAGCCTCTTTGTGGTCGTTTTGGGGCCTCTTGGGGCCTATTTCGGGCCTCTTGGGGGCCTTCTGGGGCCTCCTGGGGGCTTCTTGGGGGCCTGTGGGCCCCCCCGCCCCCGAGCACTACATGCGTCGGGGATGGCGTCTGGCGTCCCCCCGTCCCCCTTCAGAGCCGCCTGGGGGCTTCTTGGGGCCTGTGTGACCCCCCGCCCCCGAGCACTGAATGCGTCGGGAATGGCGCCCCCCCCCCCCTTGCAGAGCGAAGCTTGAGCGAGCTCAAGTCCGCGCTCTCAGAAACTCACACGCCGGATCGGCCGATTTTTGATGGTTTAATAACTAGTTTTGGACTGTTTCTCATTTTTCTTCCAGAATCCGCCCGTAGGGGACACGCCCGACCCAAGGCTACGCCGGGGGTGCGGTTTGCGAGCTGCGCCGTTGGGGCTCGGGGGCCACCACGGGGCGTCAAAGGTTTGAGGAGCCCCCGTCGGGGCGCGGCAGGGACCTGTGCCGAGGTCCTGGCCCGCCCCCCCAGGCGCGGGCTGCAAACCACACACCAGGGTTGGAACTAAACGCTGTTCTGCTGGACTTCGGCTTTTTTTTTTTTTCGTTTTGGGAGGGAGGTGCAGGAAAACAGGTAGAGCGAACCGAAAAAAACAAGACGAAAACAAAACGAAAAACAACGCTTAGGTCCAGCCCTGCCACACACAATGTGTGCAAACCACGCTCTCGGGAGCCGCCGATAGGTCTTCAAGACCCTGTCGGCGAGGGGCCCGGCCCAGAAGAGCCCGTCCAAGGAGGTCCCGTCCAAGGAGGCGCGGCGGCGCGCATCGGCACGCAGCGGGGGGGGGGCCCAGAGGTGCGCACGAAAGAGAGCGCGGCAGGAAAAGTTGTTGGCCGCTTTCGGCCTCTGGGGGCCCTTGCTAGGCCCCAGGGCCGCCAAGAGACGGCTCGGGATGCAGCATCGGCCCTGGGGAAGGTCTGGATTTCTACGCAGGTTACCCCCAGGGGCGCGGAGATGATTGCGCTTCGCGCGTCGCGGTCTGGGCCAGAGCGGCTGCCCTTCTCCGTGGGGGGCGGCGCGAGGGCGCGAGGGCGCCAGGGCGCGAAGATGATCGCGCATCGCGGGGCGCGATGCGTCATGTCAGGTGACCTGGGGACTTCTGGGGACCCCGTGCTGAGGGAAGCAGGTCATCGCAGGGCTGTCTGTGTGTAAGTGCCACCGAGGCGCGCACCCAGTCACGGGTGCTTGTGCAGCACGCAGGGGGGTGGCGGGAGAGTGGCAGGAGAGCGCCACGTTCGCGCGGGAGGTGGCAGGTCGCGGGTGGCGAGGGTAGCTCCTCCTCCTCCTCCTCCTCCTCCTCCTCCTCCATCATCATCATCATCATCATCATCATCATCATCATCATCATCATCATCATCATCATCATCATCGTCATCGTCATCGTCATCGTCATCGTCATCGTCATCATCGTCATCATCGTCATCGTCATCGTCATCGTCATCGTCATCGTCATCGTCATCGTCATCGTCATCGTCATCATCATCATCATCATCATCATCATCATCATCATCATCATCATCATCATCATCATCATCATCACTAACCGCATGCCAACTGCACCGCTGGGACCTTCTGTCGAGCTCCCTATGGGGCCACGAGGCGCTGTGCGGGTTGGGGGATCCGCATGCGAACTGCGCCATTGGGACCTTCGGTGGAACTCCCTATGGGGCCACGGAACGCTGATCTGGGTGGGGGAACCGCATGCGAACTGCGCCACTGGAACCGTCGGTGGAGCTCCCTCTTGGGCCACGAAATGCTGTACTGGGCGGGGGAGGCACATTCGACCTGCGGAGGAGGGAGGAGGGGGTGGAGGAGGGGAGGTGAGAGGAGAGGAGAGGAGGATCGCGGGGCGCTGTCTCTTCAAAACGAGGAGCCAACACCACAGGATGGTTGGTAACAAAGAGAGAAGGAGGAGGATGAGGCAGAAGTGGAGGAGAAGGAGAAGGAGGAGGAGGAGGATTACCACACATTTGCACCCCGACCATCACTACCAGCATCAAGATACCCACTCCATTAACCGACAGCGACAGCACCAGCGAGGAGCACACAAACGGCAGACGTCAACCAGGACGACCGACCTTCACCGCCCACTGTACCACCACAAAATAAGCATACCCCACCGACCAAGAAACGAGCACCCACACTACCCCCACATTTGGCCATGCCCGAAACTCAGACCGATGCTAAGGAAGCACCACCACTTTCCACCACCCACTGCACCGCACCACAAGTCACTACACCAATGCCACCGCAAGACGTCAATTTCGACCCTATGCCAACACACCAGCCCAACCGACCTATTTTACCGACGTCACAAACCCCGACCACCAACACCCTACCAGCCAAGAAACAACCACCCCTCCCTACCTACGCAATCAACAAATCACCTCAGCTACCAAAGACCACCTACATCATTGTATATTGCCAGCTCCAAGCACACCGTATGCAAAGCACACGAAGGCTATCTTCAAGTGGTCACCTACCATGAGATTAGCCATACCAGCGAACCCACCACCTGTATTCCAGATAACAATCATCTGCCCACCGCCCGAAGGAATTATGGCACAGCGCCGGATACATGAAGTACCGCAAAACACCATGGCACCCAAGACATACGCCTCATTACAAGCCTACTTCCCAACCCACGCAGCCCACGTGATCGCAGCAGACAACACGGCAGCGAGACGCGACGACCAGCACATCCTCATCTACAACCGCCGCATCATCTTCGTGCACAACACAGTCGACCCAAGCTTCTACAGCTACATCGACAGGCTCCGCTCACATCAGACTCGATAGGAGTGCTTCCTCGACAGCCTCCACAACAACTACCTACCAGAAGAGGCCTTCAAAGAGCCTCTACCCAAGCCTACAAGACACCGCCCAAACCCAAGCCGAAGAGCTACGAAGACGGCGGCCACGGAGCAGACTAAGTACATACTGACCGAAAGAAAAGTTTAAACCACCCAGCAGCATACCACGACATCAACCACAAGCACCAGCAGTACGCCGATTACCACAGAACATCGTCTACTGACCTCCCCTCTCTTGTATTTCTGGTATGAAACCACGGCCAGGCAGTTTTACGCATGTATCGTGGTTGACACTCCCACTCGCCTTCACTGATGATGACATTCCTTATCCTGTCATTTCGACACGCCTGGTGGCTGCACGGGATCTCACGGAAATCCCGTCGATTTGAGGTAAACCGTTAAAACATTGGTTGGGTAGCAACCCAATATTTGATAGTCCAGATTTTAAGGGCCATTGTCATACAGAAAGCTCTCCCCCTTTTTCACAAACCCACTAGGCACAGCTAGTATTGATGTACCAGCACAGCTGACTCACCTTGCCCAGTCTACCTTTGGGGTCCCCAATCTAGGATGCGACCCCACTTTCTTCGGATACGCACAGACACTGATGTTGACACTGGTCCAGCTTGCGCACCAATCTTTGCCTGCTCCACAGCAGCACTTCCTCTTTTTCTTTTGACCACAGTGATTCGAATCACATGGTCTCTTACATTCAACTCTGAAGGATCGCAGCCCCTGAATTGCACACTTCCTGTATCTCGCCTTGTGTACTGCCGTAGCGCCCGCATACGTGCACGCAACTGCTCAACAGGCCAGCCTACTTAGGCCAGCCTGGAGTGCACTACCGCAGCATTCTTTCCAGAGGCTCAGGGTAGCAACCCAAGGAGTGCACGCGCTCCTTACTTTCTTCTACATGAGCCTCACCTCCCCCCACCATGGGAAGCAGCCCGAGAATTGCCGTCCAGCCACCTTTTCTTCGTGCACTTCTCACCTGGCTAACAGACGGAGAAGGTGCTCCCTCCACCAGGGAGCCCAAGAGCGGGCCTTCCTTTGGCATGCGGGAAGCCTACACAGGCCGGAGGGACTTTTCACACGTAGGCCAGCCTATTCAGGCAAGCCTACAGCAGCATTGCGCACGTGCTTGCTGCGTAGCATCATTTACCCATCCTTCTCCTCAATGGTTCTGAGACCTAGCTCCCCTTCGCCAAGGATAGCAGCCCAAGATTTGTATACCGTCCCGCCATTTTCTTTTTATGTGTGTATATATACATATATGTATAACAGGTTATTTTAAAGGGTATCAGCCCAAGAAGTGCACATTATGTTTTTGCCTGCTCCATGGCAGCACAACTCACTCCCAGGACCACGGTGATCCATGAGCAGGCTAGCTTGCTCAGGCCAGCCTCGCGTGCACTACAACAGTTCTTTCTCTTAAGAGACTCAGGGTAGCAGCCCAATAATTAATGTAACTTTGAGGGTAGCAGCCCAAAACATGCACTGCCTGTACCTTGCCCGTACCTCACACTCTTGGCTAACATACTCCCTTCTCTTCATCATACTTCCTCCCTTCCCCTCTGACAAGGGTAGCAGCCCTAGACTTGCAAGCAGGGTAACGGCCCGCGAATTGCACGCGCTGCTGGCATCCATGTATTTCGATGCTCGCCTCACTTGTTTGTTCGTTGGCCTGCGACATACCAGCAGCATTTTTTCTATGGCAGGGTAGCAGCCCAAGAATCACACTCTTCCTTTGCCTGGTCACAAGCCTATGCAAAAATAGTCTTGGGGTGGATGGGTAACGCATCGCGATGGGATGGGACGGACATACTGTCAAGGGTAGCAACCCAAGAGTTGTCTTGCCTGTTGCACTTTCACTGCTGAGCCGCGACGGCATTTACCATTTATCTTGTTGGTCCTATTTATCGCGGGAATGGTGATGGTGGCGGGCTCCTACTAAGGTGAGTGTCGTCACACCCGGCGGGCGCCTACTCTCATTCCTGTTCTTTTCGTGTGCTCGTGCTTTCACATTTCCCGTGGCGCCCGCAAGGTTTTTTGACCCGGGTCGTTCTTGAATTTTTTTCTGATCTCACAAACGCCACCTTCTCGCTCAGGTTGGTTTTAGGTAAAAGGATCAGGAGGCTGAGGAGGAGGAGGAGAAGAAGGAGGAGGAGGAAGAGGAGGAGGAGGATGAGGAGCTTGAGGAGTAATGCGGCACGATGACCATGATGAAGATGATGATGATGATGATGATGATGATGATGATGATGATGATGATGATGATTATGATGATGATGATGATGATGCTGATGCTGATGCTGATGCTGATGCTGATGATGCTGAGGATGCTGATTATGATGATGAGGATGATGATGACGATGATGAGGATTGTGATGATGATAATAATGATGATGCTGTAGGATGATGATGCTGATGCTGCTGCTGATGATGATGCTGATGAGGATGATGATGATGATGACGATGATGATGATGGGGAGGAGGAGGAGGAGGAGGAGGAGGGGGAGGAGGAGGAGGACGAGGAGGAACGGGAGGAAGAGGTGGAGAGCGATAAGCATAAGGATCAGGAAGAGGAGAAGGAGACAGAGGATGATGATGATGATGATGATGATGATGATGATGATGATGATAATGAGGAGGAGGAGGGTCAGGAACATGAGGAGAAGGACGAGGACAATGATGATGCTGATGATGATGATGATGATGATGATGATGATGATGATGATGGGATGGAGGAGGAAGAGGAGGAACAGGAGGACAATGATGATGATGAGGAGGAGGAGGGGCAGGAGGAGGAGGACGGGGAGGAATGGGAGGAATAGCTGGAGAGCGATACTCAGAAGGATCAGGAGGAGGAGAAGAAGGAGAAAGAGGACGATGATGATGATGATGATGATGAGGAGGAGGAGCAGGAACATGAGGAGGC